TCCCTCGGGAGACCGCAGTGCGGATTGTGTAAGGAGGAAAATATTCGAAAAATTTAATTTTGTCTAAAGTGCGTCAAGTAGACGAAACAAATGTGGAAAAGTTGCCCTCCCTCCAAATTGCTGGCTTCGCTTATTGCTCTCATAATATCGTCTAAGTTCAAGTTAATATTTTGAATAATGCCACATCGTTTGGCCGTCTAAGTGAGTCCCTCGTCGTCGGATATTTATGACTGCAAATACATCAGCGCCAACAGCAATCAGGATTCAGTTTGGAGCTGAAAGAAGCCCTACCACACTTTCCAGAGCCCTTCAAAATGATTCGCCATTTCTCTTGGCCCTAAGTCGCGCCTTTTGTCCAATATTGTTAGCAGTGTGGCGTGAAAAAAAGCTGAAAACAAGTTGCCAAATCAGGGTCACAAATGTCTGTTTGACAACTTTGCTAGCGCGAACACAAAAGGGTTTTTTTGTCAGATAAAAAGTGAATTTATTGGAGTATTATGATACAGTGCTGAGGAAAATCTAGAAGAAGGGAACTTTAAAATGAATTTTCTACATGAAAACTATTTGTGAAACATTTCTATAATAAATAAGAAAGTACTGCTATTGTAATCTTTTTTTATGAATTTTCACAACCTTCCAGAATTAAAACAAACAATACTATAGCATTAAACCCCACTCATTTTAAAGCACATTTCTCTGCATAAATGTTATCTTCTCGCACTTAGCACATCGTCTGTACCTAATACTCAGAAATAATTTATAAGCGGCATTACCCCGAAATAGAATTATATTAAGAGAGCGTTGCCCTATGGGGAATATTATAATAAGCTGATGGCTCAAGTGCTCACTTAACCCGGCGACTTGCCGCCTAGGCATAAGGTCACTGTCCACTCCCCTGATTTGAGTAAACAGAATTTCCAGGCAGATTTGCATGGACTTAACCACTATTGAACTCTGTCGACCCGGTCTTAAAAGGAAGGCAGCCAATATTTGCATACGAGCCATCCACACAGCGACTTGGTAAAAGGATTTTGGGTGCCTCTTCTCCTTTTTTTTTACTTTTTGCCAACCCACTCTTGTAAAGTAAATCTATTTTAATGTATGCAGCAATTAAAAATACATCAGTTTGCTTTCGGGCCTTTTTGCCTTGACAGGAGCAACTTCCTGGGTCCTGTCATTAAATGCGCCATTTCGGGCTCATTAAATTTCATTGCGTTAAATGCGGCCATGTCATGCATACATTGAGTAATTTTTTGTAATATTTAAGCCAACGTTCGCCGCTCGGCATAATTTAAACATCAAATAAAAGTAATGAAGTGGCGAAAGGCCTCGGCTTGCCAAGTTGATCACATTCCATTAAACGGTGATGTCAGTGCGACACCTTCATTTACATAAGGACCAGCACGTGTCCCTTTCGTCTGTCATTGAACTGTCATCCGATCCGATCCCGTTTCGAGTCCTTTCCTCCATTCCATCTCGTTCACTTCCTGTTTTGCCTAATTACGCCCTGCGCAAAATTCATTAAATGCCCCGACGACACCCCAATCAGCCAGCCGTCTGTCTCCATCTGGGGGGCTAAATTTAGTCCGCATCGCAATTCATTAAAAAGAACATCCTCCTCGAGTCGAGTTGCCGCACCGAGGTCCTCGGAATCTGTGCAGTTGTCTGGCTGTGGAGCCTGTGGCATCCTCTCCACCAAGTTGACATATGTACAGGAGCCGCAGAGTTTGTTTATGTCGCCATCTAATTGCGGCCAACTTAAAGTCCTCTCGAGTCATGAGCAATCCTAAAGGACAATTGCTTGTGGCTGCCACAGGATGATAACATGATGTGAGCAATTCAAGTAACAAAGTGCTTAGGTGTTTAAGAACATTAAATAAAATGCTCAAATACCAAATCGAATAACATATCGTATGTATAGAATTTTTGGTTGTTATCTTAAATTATTGATTTTTAATTGAAATTTAATGTTTCTTTAACTGATGGCAAATAGTTCTCATGGCAAAATCAAATTAAATTGTATCAATAACATTTATAATTCACTAAATTCCCAAATAATAGAATTAGGTTTTATTTCTACTTTAGCTTTTCAACCGGAAATATTCAGCTGTGAACAAATAATGTTTTTAAGCTACTTAAGCAAACATTACATATGTTTTTCTCTTACTATAAAAACGTTTTAAGTTGTTCTCGTATTTCTGTTTGTGCACTTGCAGTTCCATTTCTCTTATTGATTTCTTTATTGCTTTGTTTTGCTAAGCATTTTATTGCCATTCGTTATTTATTTTGCTGGGGGAACTTCTCAAAACTAGGCTAAATGAAACAGAGCACAACAAACACGCCTGAGAAAAACCCATCACAGGACCAACAAAAACAATAGCAGGGCAATAAAAGAAAACTTTTGTTTTCAGGGACACATTTCGGGCACATCTAGGAAGCGAAACAAGCGCACAAGTATAATCATTAAAATTAATTACACAAACATTAATGTGCCGCTGGCAATTAGGGTCCAAACCGACCGAGGTGAACCCCGGTTCGCCAGAGGTTCTACAATTTCCGACTACCTCCTGTCAAGGTCTTCGATTGCCAGACCGCAACCAAGAAATTTTTTTACTCAAGAAAAATCACTAACAAAAAATTGTAATTGTATACTTAAAAGAACAAGATTGAAATATAAACAAGATCCTATTTAACCTTATTGAGTTTCTCTTGGCATTTGCTTGATTTCATGGTTTTTAAATCATTTTCACAGTTTTAACAATTTTTGCTGGATTGAAAGATCAAACAGAAAAATGTTTAAAACAAAATTTGTTTAAACAAGCTTAATTAAATTTTTAAATAATTTTTTTTTCTGTGCGCCAACGCACACAATGATACCAGCAGAACGCCCACAAGACACACACAATCTCAGTCGCAATAATGAATACTTAATAAAGCGGCATTCAGGGTGGTGGACTCTCAGTCGACGGCAAACAAAGGCGGCCAACAGGCCAAAGACCACGGCTAAGGCTGCGGGCAAAGTTTACCTTTGTTTGGACCCACCTGTCCCATCCCGACCTTCCACTCGGACCTGTTCTGCTCCTTTTTCGCTGTTTTTGTTATTTTTCTCCTTGTTAGGCGGGAAATTTTATTTCAATTATCAACACCCAAGCGGGCGGCATTTAGCATTCAAGTTGATTTAATTTGTCAGCGGCAAACTGTCGTTAAAGGCACGGGTATCCAGATGGGTCAGCCAGCTTTTTGTTCGCTTTTTATCCAGGCAAACAATTACAGAAACAGCTGTACGCTTTATACAAAAGGAGAATATTTTAATCGATGTGAATCCCGCAAATCGAATTGATTAAATTCATAAAAACAAACGAGGTTTGTGGAAAGACAGCCGCGGATAACAATGATTGATGGCATTTATATGCAAATATTTTTTGTTAGTAACTAACAAACTAATAAAGCTGAAAAAATAAGCTATAAAGGCATTACTTTCCTTTATTACTCAATTGTTTCCAAAATGGATTTTAAAAAAAAACAATTTCATAGTCAAATAGTCAACAACATGTATTATTTTTTGAGGCCTTTCGCATAGTTGTAGTATTTTATTCGCAAAGTTAAAGGGAACTCCACGCCCACTTAAAAATTCTGATTATCAATTTTATTGCAACCATCACAAATTTTCTAAAATTGTTACCTCGTATCACAAAGTGCAAATTGATAGGCTCATTACAATAATAAATCGATACACACTGTGTGGGTATACAACCGCAATTTGTACATTGCTTTTGTTGAAATGATCATATTGTCATTTTAATTAAAATTTACCAATTTCAGCGGGCGATGTGATTCACCATATTCAGTAGCGGAAATCAAAAATTATTAAAAATGTATAACTCACAGTTAAAAATTAGACGCTTCAATCAAACATTTCTGTAGACGAAAGGTCATATAATTTTGTAGACAATTAAAGAAAAAGTATACTTAAATTTATAAAAAAATAGAGTAAAAATAAACTCAAACTTCAACATTTTATTGAGCCTCTCAGCATTAATTTACTTTATCACATATACAACTATTCTCTTCCCTGAAAAAAATTGAATTAATTCATTATTATTAAAGTGGTACCACTTGAAAGCCACAACACGTCACCACTGCGTATACGTAATTTAAATGCACATTATTGTGAAGAGAAAAACGAGAAAAATTAAGGGGCGTTAACTCTCTCGTGCAACAAGTGGTTAATACTAATTAGGACTTCCCGGGGTGGGGATTAAACAAGGACATGCCAATAACGATGACGACAACAACATCGAGATGTCGATGTCAACAAGGCCAGGCAAACAATAGCGGAAGCAGGATCCTGGCTCAAATATTTTCTGACGCCAGGACCAACTTGCAATCCGATGCTCCTTTAATTAGGCAGACGGCCGGAGCCCGATAATGATGATTACGGGCATCTGGTCATATTATTTTCTTCATAAAGAACATACCATTCACATACATTTACTTTTTTATCTTTAAAAATTTAAATGTATTTAAATTTGATATATAATATTAATATTATATTTCTAGCTCTGCTTATACACGATACTTTTATTTTTTATTATCTTTAAATAAATCTTATATATAAGTCCCTTTTATATAAACAAATCTCTGTATACTACGTGAGCCATTAAAATAAAATACTCACCCTGAACCTTGATTTCTCTATTAAGCTCATTGAAAGGCGATTTGCGATTTGCAAAAGCAAGATGCCTAACAAATTGGCATAAGCTGATTGCATGTGAAGAGGTATTACGACATTCTTACGAACCTGATAAACGTGGGCGACATGTAAACTCGCTAACTAAGAGGACTTATTTTTCTTAGCGAGAGGGTGGAATATTAATTTCCCATCAACCTGACAATTCAAAAAAAAAAATCAAATTATTTATATATGTGTATGTGTCAGTCAATCAATCTATCAGTCCCGAAAAACAATTTAAACTCTTTTCTCTTTTGCATTTTTACAGATTTTCGAAACGCATTTCTAAGCATCTTCGTGGACGGACTTTTATTGAATTGTGCCAGTGATTCGAGCCAAAATAATGCAAGGAAATGTCAGCTAGATTTCGGAAGTCATTTTGTAAACCACACTCAACATGGATGGGTGGAAAAATGCTGATAAATGGCAAATCAAGTGACAACGATGTGGAAAGCGATGGCGAGGGGAGATTTTCTAGCAATTGGCTGGAAAAGCTATACAAGTCGTAGATATCATATGTGTGTGTGTGTGTGTGTGTGTGTCTGTGTATATATTTTATGGGTGCGATTGGGTGTGGTAATGAAGTGTGTGTCTGTGTGTGTGGTTGTGTGTCGCCTGAAGGCACAACTGCCTCTTTATAAAGCTATTTTTTCCCGTATTTTCCGGCGCCATTCAAGTCGCGACAATTGCTGGCCCATTTCGCATATTTACAATGCCTCGAAGGGTGATTCCAGCCAACTCTCCGAAGAACAGTTTGCCTTTGTCGCTTTCAATTTGTACCTAACAACTGTCAGACATTTGTCGTTTTGGTTTTGGCTTTCGCCAGTCACACGGAATTAAATTTCGAGCGTCGGGCTTTTGGCCCAATTGTGTGGAAATATGTCAACGCAAGTCCTTCTCCCTCTAACTCGTTTTCTCTCCCGGCAGAACAGAGAAAAAATAATTTGTTCGACTTCAAAAAAGCAAACATTTTCACGGCTGATGGGAGCACTATAAGGCCATCTAAAAAGAGGGAAAAAACCAAAAAAAAAAAAATGGCACGAGTAAGCTAACATTGATGAGATTTGCACGGGCCAACAGAACCGGATCGGTGAATATATACGGATATCGAAGCTGACTGGCAGCTGCCAGGGCCAAAATATCGCCTGCAGGCATTCAACTGAAATTCAACAGGCATCAATTTTAAAGCCCCTTAATGCTGAAATTGTCACAGGATAAAATTGGCTTAGCTATTGTTTACATCTAGGCAATTACGAACTCCTACGCAAGGCAATAAATTCTGTGTTCATTTGTTTAGGTTTACGATTTTCCTCAAGGACCTCTCTCCTTTCATTCAAATTCCAGCAATATTAGTGCGGTTATAGGCGAGTGTGAACTGTGTGTGTGAATGTGCATAATAAAATAACTAACTTTAACTGCTGACGCATAAAACTATTTTATCACAAAATATTTAATGGCTAATAAAGTGTGTCAGGTGTAAGACAGCCAACAAAGGCGATTTCCTAGGTTTAAGCTGCTCGACAAGCTTGCAAAGTGTTTTCGAGCATAGACATAAATGAAAACAAAACTGTATATTAAGGCATTAACGCTTAAGATTGTCGGCTAAGCGCATCAAATGCTAGAACAAAAATATTATGCTAAATTGGAACAAGGAAATCTGCAGACCCAAAACCAAAAGTACGCCAAGTTGTGCTGACCATGAGCCCCGCTTTTGAAAGTTTAAAGTTTAAAGTTTAAAGCTTAAACTAGGATTTCAAAAACATGTCACATTTTTTGGTGTACTTTTGGTTTTCCTGCTTTGGTAAAAAGCTTCCACTGCGTATACGTAATTATAATTAATATAAAAATGCTTAAATACTTTAAGGTAGACAGCTTAGTTTGAACTAATTGCTGAGATGTTTGTGAATACTCATTGATCGATGGATAAACTAAAGGTATTTCAAAATGGCATTACGGTGTGTATGGTCTCATGAAAGTCTTAGGAAACTAGAATAGGAAACCCAATAAAATTTAAACATATTAATATGAGTATAGAAGAAATTTTATGAATCCCTAGCTACAATTAAATGTTGGCTGTTGTATCAATGTATTACGAACGAATAAGATAAGTTATGTGAACTTGGAAAGGCATTTTTATAAATAAAAGAATAGTTATTATATCCGTAGGGTAAAAAATTGTAAAACTATTTTAAGAAGATCATCCAAAAACTTAACTATTAAAGTGAAACTTAAATTAAGGTAAATTTTGGAAATAGAGTTAAGGCTAAGAAGGCGAAACATTAAAGAATATAAATAGCAAGTAAGTAAAAATAGATTAAGAAAATGTTGTTGATTCAACTTCCCACTAGTTAAGGGTTGTGTTTGTAGCCAATAAATGTTGATTTGGAAAATATTAAATACGAAAAGATTGCACAATTGGAAGTAAGACAAACTATCAAAAAAACAAACAGTTAAATGTGAAAATTGAAAGTAAATGAAATCTACAGTAAAATTGCATGTCAAATAAAAAGAAAATTCTTAAGTTATTGTAATATCACAAACGAAACACAGCTGAGTATTAAACTAAAAGTAAAAACTATACGAATGTAGCCGAAAAAGATGTTTTAAAATACGGATTACCGACACACGAATAAATAATGGATGTTGAAACAAAATGAGTGGCTGTTTAAATGTGCGATGGGCCGAAAAGGAACCCGAGGTATTTCCATAATAAACTAATTCTTAAGAAAAAGGGGATTGTCCATCTTCTCAGCGTGTGACAACGTTGCCATGCTTTGATCAAATAAACAAACAAATGACAAATAGGGGCAGATGTGCAGACAGGCGATTTGTCACCGGGTAATTTATGTACCCAGTCGATCGCCCTTTATTTAGATGGGGGAATTAACCCTCAACTGGGTCAACGGCACATGCATCCCACTCCGCAGGTCAGTGCATCAAGCCACTATAAGGGATTACAAGGTGTGCTGCTTCGGTTCAATTAAAACGCTGGCATGCGAAAAGTTCGACGAGAAAGTTCATAACCGGATCGAACATTACCGAACAAGACAATATGGGGAGAAACTTTTATTTTTCCCGCTACACGGGAAAGTTATGCCAGCGCAAGGTATTCGGAATAACTTTGCTAGCAGTTATTAAATAAGTATGAATTCCAGCGAAAACATTCAAGAATCTCGTAAGAGGATTACTAAGCGTCTAAGAGCAATTTAATTGGGTAAAACGTTATATCTGAATCGAGCTTCTTAAAAGAAAACAACTTTTCAGTCTGCAAATTGAAACTTTTATTACTAACTTTTCTTTATAAATTAAAAAGCAGAGCTCGTTCCTCGTTTAAAGCTTAATTTGCATTAATTTCCATGCTGGCGCATTTGTTGCGCAATTATCAACTGAATGACCCTTTGATTTTGATGATTACTGTTTGGCATTTGCACTTAAAGCCCTGGTTTACCGCAGCCACCATGGCAACATGATAATTTCGCAAATATTGCTGACTGGCGGCCAACCAGGCAATTGAAATCCTGATAAATCAAAGGTTGATGGCGTAGTCAATAAACGCGTTATTTGGGTCAAATTGTGGTGAAATGTGGAAGGAGAAAATTGGCTTAGGTAGCTAATCGAATTACTCACCATGGTGCTACTTAATGACTATGAATTATGCGAATTAAAATATATCCAAACATTTCAACGTGTTCAAAGTTGTTTTCTTAGCTCTGGCAATCTGATTTTCTTTCGGGAATACGAAGCCTGTCATACTCAAAAGAAGATTGTTACCTTTTCGTGGCTTCTTGTGCCAACTTACTGGGACCCATTTCAAATAGCTTTTAAGGCAGCCAACTAATAAACTGTCCGGAGCAGAGCACTTCATCAGGCCCGAGGCCCCTGTCAAGTTGCGCTTACCTGGCCTGAAATTTAATCGTTACGAATGTGCGGTCGTAAGTCATAGTCCTCGGACCCCCAAATCCAAGGACCTCGGGCAGAGGCATTGATTTAAGTGACATTATTTGGTTACCCATCCCAAGGAAGTTCTTGCTAGGACAGGAATTATAGAAATTTACAAGGTTCATAGTAACCAAGTAATTTTAAGCTGATTATATGGTAGGCAGTGGCGGATCCACGGGGGGGGAAATTAGGGAAATTTCCCCCCCTTGGAACCAGAGAACCTGGAAATTTTACTTGTTTGATATGGTTGACTTTTCAAATATAACCACTTTGTTTACCAAAAAATTGGGATGGATCATTTTTGTTTTATAATGTGTACTGTATTTCTCTCGCAATAATAAGTTTGAACCCCAAATCGAAGAATAAGTCAAATTTCCCCCCCCAAGAATCGTCTCTGGATCCGCCACTGATGGTAGGTATTTCATGGAAACACAAAGTGTTGTTTGTGTTTACAATAGAAGAAGATATTGTTATGATTGTTTCAAACAGAAATTTTAATATAAAATGATTACATTTAAATGTTAGCATGGACCCTGGAATTATTACAACTCATTAACAAAACTTTCTGCTCTAGAGATAAATTTAAAACAAAAGCAAGCATTTATAAATATTTCTTTAATCAAGAGTTTCCAATTTAATTAATTTAAAATGTAATCATAAGGTATACATATTTTTAATTCCATTACGAACTAAATTTTTAATAGTTATTGAAGCTTAAGTTTATACACCTCAAAACCTCTTCGAAGAATTAATTTTAACAAACTAAACCCTGCTATCTCCACCTGTGCCACAATTTCGACTACATAAATTGTCATTACGTATTTGCGTTGGAAAATAAAACAGGAGATATGCTGTTTGCTGTTCACTGGTTTCAGTGCACACGAGTCCTTTTTTGGTCCTTCTGTTCTGGTCGAGTCCTGGAAACTATTTGTGGCCCTGGCCACTGGCAAGCAAAAGTTATTTGTTGTGGGATTTCTTTTTCATTCTCTTTCACTGCAATAAAATTTTTGTGTGACATGAATTATATAGAACAAAACTGCGGAGTGAGGAGTAAATAACCAGAAGCAGAACGATAAAGCAAATGAGACGTCAGTCGAGAATGGTTTACAAATTGCACTTTTATGGCAAGCTGAGGATGATGGAAAAGCAAACTAGTTAGCCAACAGTAGAAGGACATTTCCTAAACGGGCTTAAATAGAGTTCTTAAAACAATCCAGAAGAGAAGATAACCGAAACAAAGTCCGACGGGAACGGAAAACTTTATAAAATGCGTAACCAGTAAGCAAATAAATTCAATTAAAATTGAGCGACATTCTGACACATGTAAACAGGCACTTCTATCCTCGTCTAGGGCGAGAGGGCCCAAACCACTTAGCCAACACATTCCGACCTCGAGAAACAACACGAACCACACGCAGGGCCCCGAAAGTTTCCTTTGTCAATGTGTCTGTGGGTTTTCAAAAACTTTCGGCGTGAAATGTGTCACTCAAAAGCAGCAGCCCAAAAACAACAGAACTTGTTCCAAGTCAAACAGTCGAGTTCAGCGGGTTCATCTTGGCCAAAATATAATCAATGGAAGCAAAGAAAAGTTATTCGTGAAAAGTTTTCAAATTAATTATGAATCGAAGAAAATGTAGGGGCTAATATTAAATAATTGAGAATAATCCATTCATAATGTTACATTTAGGTTTCATGAATTTCAGGGAATCAATAAATTAAATTTGCTGCTAGTTCTTCAGTGATATTAAAATTTAATGTGATTACATTGAACAACAAAATATTTTTGGTTTACCAATTTCCTTGAAAATTGTTTGTTTAATTTTAAACTTAAACTTATGAAGATGTTTAAACACCAGGTGTTTAAATTGTTTATTCTCACAGATGTATTATTATATTTTTATACATTTTCTACTCTGCTGCTTCCAATTTTCTTCAATGTTTACGTGTTCAATTTCAAACATAATTACAGCAATATTACAATTAGTATTATCATTCGGCAGTAATGCACACAATGTGCATAATTAGAAATGCCATTTGCATTGCGCCAAATAAAGGCAAACTGCTGCAGTTCTGGAAATAAGTAGCTTAAGTGGTTACCAACAAGTTCAGCAAAATTTCCGTGCGCAGCGAACTTTCAAGCCAATTGGCGACGCCTTGAGGAACCGTAACAGCCTTCTGGGTGGAAGGACCTAATGAAATTGTCTCCGGCACTCCGGCACATACAAATGGCAAATTAAGTTTCGAAAATGGTTTCCACTTACGGCCATGGCAGGTTGTTGTTGTTGTTGCCAGAGAAGACCTGTAACCAAACCGTCGAGCAGGGAAAAAAGCGGAGCCAAATGGCTGACAAGTGCACGCCAGTCAAGCCGTTTGACTGTTGAGATGCAGCCCAGTTTGCCCCGGAATCTGTTGTCGGGATTGTGTTTGGTTCTGGCACTCCCAAATGGCTTTCAAACTAGTTAAGCTGGCAAGCTGGCAACAGCAGTCCGCTTGCTAAACGTTGCAATAGGGCTCCTGGATTGCCAATGCAGTGTATGTTTCGCATGAAATTGCCACACAAAAACCTTCTTCCTCAATTGAATTAAATGCTACGGCTTCCCGTTTCCTCTATTTGTTTGCTGGTATTTCAAAAGCAAGGTAAACAGGAAATTGCCATGTTTTCTCTGTCAATTAACTAATAGTTAAAGTGAATCTTATGTAATTAAAGTAAAAAATTATGCTGTTTTCGACTGCAAATGCATTAGCAAATTAAATGGTGAGCAGCAGGAAAAAATATTGCCAAAGAGCAGGGACAACATAATTACTTCTACTTTAATGAAGTACATTTAAAAGGTTAGTTAGTGCTATAAATTTTAATCATACCCTATATTATTTAAAAGCTTTTAATAAACAAGATATTGTAAGGTACCAAAAATTGTAAGCTTATTAAATTGTATTTACTAACAACACCTTTAAACTGTTTCTTTAAAGTTTTAATTTGCTTGCCAGTTTAAAACACGCCCAGGGCATACAAAATCGAATACTATACCATACATTGTAAACTCCAGCATATTTCACATGCCGTGGCTATATTCCAAAAAATATTCACAGAGTATTCACACAAAGTGTCCGCAGGAAGCGCATTCAGCAGAATCGCCAGAGGAAAATTCCCTCACGTGAAGTCCTCGCCCGAAGCCACAACTCTGCCGCTTTTCCCGCTTTCCCCGCTTTTCCAGTGTCTGCTGGCCAGCGCTGTGTTTACATTTGCAGTATCTAATGACTTTTGGCCGGAGGCTGCCTCTGTCCTCTGTCCTATGTCGCTGTCGAGGGAACAAAGAGTTTCAGCACTTAAGTGCAATGCAACGACTGTCCCCGAAAGGGCGAGACAAACAGCACTAAAAACCCGAGGGAAAATCTATCAAAAGGGGTTACGGCTATTTGATACTTAAATCAGTTTAATTTTAAAAATTTCTTCATAAATTTTCTGGTTTAAAATATATATTTAATTTAAAGACAACTACAAATTTTTAACACGTTTTGGTTTCGCTTAATTATAAATAATAAGAACAGTACTAGAAATTGTCTTTGACTTCAAATAACTCAATCATTTAAATTCATTCTTATTATTAAAATACAATCTTTAATTCCATTTAAACCACCCCAATAAACAACGTTTACTGGGTATTGAAAAGCGGCCAGGAGCGAAAATATGTAGCTCAGTTGGCCGGCCTGAACT